CCTGCTGACCAGGAGAAGCTGGGAAACAGGCTGTGTGACTGATCTGTGTTGTAAAATGTCTTTGAGTGTCTAATGAAACCATTGGAGGGTAATGAGAGCTGAAAGGAACCCAAGCCTCTGCTTCTGCCATGGCTTTGCTTCCTTTCCCAAGGAGGAGCGCAGTGTGGGGCAGTGGCACTGTTTCTCTTTGGTTTCACTTTCTGATATTGTTTAACGCTTCTGTTGTACTGTGAACAAGAACACAAAAAAAGTTTATGTATAAAATAAGCATTTATAAAATTATTTCTTGAATCCTTTTAGCAAACCCCCTAATCTTTAAATTGGTAACATCTTTTTAGTACATGCAAATAATTATTACAGATGTTTTTGCAGTATGACTTATTCTTACTGGAAGCTGGTTAGTATAAAGCGTAATTTGATACCATTCTACTTTTAAAGACACTAATGTGAGCTGTAAAAATTCATTTTTGTAGGCATAGGAATACGTAATTCATTCCAAAAATATTGTGGTTAATATTTAAATGATGCTGTCTTAGAGCTGACTAGGTTATTCCAGTCCAGCATACCAGCACAAATACTGCAGCTATTACTGTGTAGCTAAATGGGAAAGTTTTGGTAGCTCCAGATTTGGAAGGACTGTGCACCAGCTTCAGCAAGGGCTTGACTAGCATTGGGCCTATGAAAATCTACCTGCCTTGGTATGTGAGTCACGTATTAGAGGAGGTGATTCATGTGAAAAATGACTTTGTGCAATATGCAAGGATTCTTTGTGGTCTATACTAATTTTCTCTCAGTGAGGAAAAGTCTCCTCGTGAAGTAATTTCTTTGGAGAATTAACACTGGATGGAGTGGTTTGCTTGGGCTCGAATATCTATATATCCTGTTAAAATTAAGATAATCCTATGTTGGTCTATGTAGCAGCTTCCCAGTTTATCAGTATTTCCTTTCTCAGCAGCAAACAATATTTTAAATACTGTTGTTTAATATGCAGCTCAGATAAATATGCTAGTAGGAATCTGTAAATATTTATGATAGGTTCTTGAAGATTTGTATTTTAACAGATGTAGGACAAATGTCTTTCAGTATTTCTGAAGAGCGGAAATAGTGTTTAAAGTTCCCAGGTGTCAATGACACTTGCAGTAAGTGTTTCCAGAAAAACACATGGGAATTGTGGAATTGCTCAACAGCTTCAGAAACCCATGGAAGTTGATAAGACTTTTTTTCCATTGCTCTCAGCTACTTTTTCATCTATTTAAAACAGATTATTATGGTGTGTGGGGAGTTTAGAGGTACACTTAAAACTGTTCTTTGCGTGCAAGATCTTTCAGTGTATATACTTGGCATTCTGTCACCAGCCTAAACTGCCCCCCCATTGCAAGAACAGTGAATGGCAAATAAATGTTTATGCAAGCAGTTAATTTCTATATTTCTGTTTAAAAAATATTTAAAAAAATCCAAAACAAGCCAACAACAGCTGCCTAGTGTAGATTGTAGAATTAGATAAGTAGTATCATAAGTATATTTAAAGGAGTGTATGAAGACTACCTATAATAGTGCAGTCACTAAGACTGCTTGAAATTCACTGTGGGCTAAATGTCTTAAACATTGACTGGATTATTTTATTCCTGCTTTGAATTACAAAGGTGGAGGAACAGGCTTTGAGAAGTTTCTCTAATTTGGGTCTAAATGTTGTATGTTGGACCATGTGGGACTTTTTTTTGGGTGAAAAGAGATATCAAAGGAATTAATATGTTATATCTAACAAACTCCCTTGGCAATCTGGCACTCTGCTGTCCTACACCACTCCTGAGAATTCACCTGGCTCATGTTGCTCATCCAGTGATACTTTTCCTGTCTTGGATAGCATCATTAAACACACTCTGCAGCTGTGACGGGATTCCTAAAGGACATAATACAATTGAGTTACAGGTATTTATAGAAACAAGTAAATACAAATGTAAAAAACCAGGTTTATCTCCATTTACTAAGTTTTTTGGATGTTTGTCTTCAGCTCTCTGAGGATCTAGTATCTGTGGAATCCTACGTCCTCAATTTGCATTCATTAAACAGCACTGGGATTTCAGAAGTTTCTTTTTCTTTGCCCCTTCTTTCTTTCTTTGCCCCTTCTTTCTTTCTTTGCCCCTTCTTTCTTTCTTTGCCCCTTCTTTCTTTCTTTGCCCCTTCTTTCTTTCTTTGCCCCTTCTTTCTTTCTTTGCCCCTTCTTTCTTTCTTTGCCCCTTCTTTCTTTCTTTGCCCCTTCTTTCTTTCTTTGCCCCTTCTTTCTTTCTTTGCCTTCCCTGTTGCTTATTTTCAAATGTATATGTTTGCTTTTTGAACTGAGATGTAGTGAGAAGGGTTTACCGTCAGTACATTGCTGTAAGGTCCAGAAAGCTATGTAGCAAAAAGCATTGCTGTATGGTCATTGCTTTACAGCATGGATAAATGAAAAATGCTTATGGGTAGGAAGAATTTTATTCATCGGTGTTTTGAAATGAGTTTCTGGGTGGAAGAAGGAATTGGGTCAGTTTCACTGAACTTGGAATGTATCTATATATAGTGATTCAGCTTCAAGCCAGTGAGCTCATCTAAACCCAAGACTTACTCAAATTTGTACTGCTTCCAAAATACTGTGGGTAGAACAGGATGGGTCATTCTACTGCCTGGGGTTTTAGTACTTGGTCAGTCTCCTGATGATAGTTGCTACATTTAGTTGGGTTTTTTTGCCACCGAGTTCTTCTAATTCTTCTAATCTGTCTCGTGTAGATATTTTTTTCATGCTACATCTATTTAAACTAAGTCATTGTAGTGAAATGGATGTTCTTTGTTTTAATGCATGTGGTAATGGAAAGTCTCTGGAATAAAGTAAGTTATGAAAATCCACCTAGTGAGCATATTTCCCTTAGTAAAATATGTATGAGAGTCTTGAGATGTTTCTTCTGCTTTGTAAGATTTTTTTTTTTCCTACTGGTTTGATTTGTTTTAGGAATGTTTCCTAATGAAGTCTTATCACTGTAATTGGAAAACAGATCCAGTATGCACTGAGATTACTTAACTGTGAAACTTGAATGCCATCCTGCTAATGAAGTTTGCAAATTAAATTCATCTGAGAAATTAATTTGAGAGCAACAGGAAGATAATAGAATCATAGTGTGACAGCTCTTACAGGGTTGCTCATAAGCAAGCACACACAGCCTGACCTTTACCATAGATGATTCTGACAAAATAGCCCCTTTTTGTCATAGATTGCTTTAAAATACATTAACGACCTGTTTTGCTGGTACGTACGAAGGTTTTCACCAGCACAATTTTGATAAGTAAAAGCTTAATATCTTCATGCTCTCAAATGAGAAGGTTATATTTGTGCATGTTTTCTGAATGTGTGGCCACCTAAAGACTCTTAAGTTGATGCTAAAATATTGAGGAAGAGGGATTTAAATGGAGTTTTCAGTGGTACATAGTTCCTCTGTGAAGCATCATCCTATTTGGTCATTGAAAAAATACCTTAATGCAACTAAATTAGTTTTTCTAAGAAGTAAACATCTATTTAAAAAAAAACAAATGTTACATCTGAGAACTCTATTATGGTGGTTTATGACCTTTTTAGAATAATGCTTGCTTGTTCCTGTTTTTAGTAGTAATCAGAATGTTTTGCAGGAAGTAACTAGCAGAGGGTTACAAACTTTGCTGTCAAAAAACCCCCACCAAAACCACATAGAAATAGGTGTGAATGTAACTTGAATCAAAAGAGACTGCACAAAGTTACTGATGAAACAATGTAATTGTATGCAGGTCTGGATTGATGCAGTTTAGAGTTGGTTGTACTGCAGTAGTCCATAAAGGATTAAAAAAGGGTCAGTAGTTTGTTCTTTAAGTACAATAGAGCTCCTAAGAAGAAAACATAATTAGTCACAATTCAATAAACAAAGCAGTAAAATTAACTAAAAACTACAAAAGATTTCCTAAGTACTGATGTATGTATGTTTTGAAATTGTGTTGCAATAGAAAGTACTGATAGGAAATACTGAATACTTAAAATGCATTAAAATGTTCAGGTTAGTGTGTACCTGGATTTGTTTTCTTTTACAGGAACAAACACATTAGGAGATTGCTGTATGTGTTAGCTGGTAGAAGCAGAATCACAACCTTGGTAGGGTGTACACAAGCTTGGTAGGATGCACACACGGCTAGGAACAGCTGGATTCAATTCACATGTTTGCTGCAGATGAGAAACTGCACACAGAAATGTAGTAGAAATGGAAGTTCTGGAAAAATACAAAGTTTTCATTATAAACACTGCTTAAAATGCACAGTCATTGAGAACTATTGTGGGAAAAAATGTGAAATTGACATGACATGCAGCTGTAGGATTTTTTAAAGATTTTTAGGTACGTCTGAATTCCAGTGTACAACCTACTAAATTGGACTAAAGTGAAGCCATAGGAGTAGTCTTTATAAAAATTTAGTCTTATTAAAACAGCAGGAGTATGGATCCAAAGGGATTATTGAAAGCTTTGCTTTCTGTGTTTCTCAGCTACAGGATAGCTTTCTGTAGTAAAGCTTTTTGTGTGTGTGTGTGTGTACTCATCCCAGTGATGTGCAAGTACTTTATGTTAATTAAAGTCAATACCCAAGATTAGTGTATTTGAATCCTCCTCTACTCCACACTCATATTTATCAGTTTTATTCCACCTTACTGTTCTCAGATTAATTAGAAATTTTTGCACTTTGTCAGTAGTTCTAATATTATTCATCGTGCTTGCGGGTCAGTTGGGATGAAAGTGGTTGCCCACACATGAGTCTTACTCTTGTGGTTGACATCCTGATCATACTGTAGGAATGCAGCTGTCATTTGTTTCTTGTACTCGTATCTGTCACCATAGCATGTGCGTGTCTGAAATCATGATCTCAGAGTGATGCAGGTTTTCAGGTGATGTGCCAATCTCATGGTGGTCTCGGAAAAATACACCAAGCTTTGAGCTATGTTATGTATTGTTAACGATGATTTATAGGCTTGGTTATGGAGATTCAGTGAAAGGACTTGAATACTATGGTAACAGTCTGACACTAACCTGTACTGTTGAGTAAAATATTTCCACATTCGGAAACCACTTTAATTGTAGGTGACTTCATGTCTAAGTTGGGCTTTGCTATTACAGAATGCTTGCTGTCCAAATACAACAGTCATTGTTAAGGGCTATTTCATGCTGAATTACAGGGATTGTTTCTATAATTATATCATGTGCACTGCAACTGTATTTGTTAGATACCAGTCTTCTATTAAAAAGAAAAAACACAACTCATGAGTTATTGAACAATACTTGCTTACTTGTTGTGTTGAATTCTCAATGTGTTTGTCCTTCAGTGTATTCTGTATGCTTTTCCAGAGTGTGGAGATTGTAGGGAGGAAGGGAGTGGAAGGGAAACCTTTATAAGCAATTAATCTACTTCTAATAGAGTTGCTTAAATACTTCAGATGAATCATCCTTGAGCACACCTGTTTCTGTGGTCTATGAAATGAGTCTAGGTGACTGTCTGAGATAAAACAACTAATTTTTTAACTAGAAAAAGCTAGATGAGATGAACCTGTCCAACTAAATTGAAACAGTGGTGGTTACATCTCTTTTCAGTTTTGCTTATTCTTATTCCTCTTATTTTTCTTTTTCTAAAATAGGTCCTGATGTCTTTACATGAGATGTTCCCAGCAGTGCATGCAGCAGAAATGGCTGTCCAGAGAAACCCACGTTCCTGGGATGCCTGGCAGACTTTGGGACGTGCCCAGCTTGGTTTAGGAGAGATAGCACTGGTAGGGAAGCAGACAACTTATTAATATATGCCAAACTTGTATACCACATCCTCTGGACTGTGTGTGAGAGAACGAAAGTACAGAAATACCAAGTTAGCTGAATGTCTTTGTGACCTGAAAGTAGGCAAGGCAGAAGGTTTTGTTATTTATCTCCAGTATTCCCTCTAATCTGTTGTTTTTCACAGGTGCTTCCGGTGTGGTTTTGTTGCTGGGCTTGTGGAAGACCTGCCTAGCTCAGAGCCATTTGTGTTTTGTAGTGTATTTACGTGCTGGCTTTATGCAATACAATAATTATGTTGACATAACTGCACATACTACATTCTGGGCACTGTACTGCTCTAATGCAGCTCACCATAGTTTAAAGATGAAGGTCCTATGAAAGTCTCAGTTGATATTCAGGCTCAGTTTTCTATAAAATTTTAGCATATTGGTTTTTCTATCTCCTCCTCTCTTTCTTCAGGTGCAGTAAATCTGTGCTCATTCATGCTTTCCCTTGTCTCCTTGACCCCAAATGGTGGCTGAAGCTGATTCTGTTCTTAGCAAAAAGGCTGGGGGTGCTCTGCAGTAGCTGGGGTACGTTATTTCTCTAGCTGCAGCTCTATGCCATGGCGCTATCTTGGCTGCGTGATGTGATGCAAAAGGAGGTTCTTCCTCTGCGTCACATCACCCTCTGCGTATAGGCTATACACTGGTAAATAACATGACATATATAGTGTAGTGGTTTTCTGCTAGCTAGTATGGAAGCACGTGAGTGAACATTCTAATTCAGACTTGTTCTATTTTATTTCTAATAGAAGTAGCTGTGTGCTGGTTCAATACAAATAATTTTGTCAATTTAGTGTGTTTTTGCAAAGTTATGATGTTTGGACTGAAAATTTTCAAGAATAAAACAAAATAATTACAGTTTGAGAGAGGTTAACAGTTCATGCAGATTCTTTTAAAAATATAATATGGAGCAATATTAAAAACAAAAATATTCCAATGAGAACGATGTAAGACAAAAGCTGTGTGTTGCAGATGTGTAGTGTGCTACCTCATGTTGCTGTACCATAATACGAAATATTTAATATAAATCCATGCATATCTACATCACAACATATAACTGGTGACATTCCATGGGTTTTGTGGTGTGGCAGGTAAGAGTGGATGGTCTGTCCTGTCTGGATCTATAATCTGTAAATCCTTTTTTCTTGGATTATGTTGTTGACCTTAATCAGAAAGAAATCTAGTTTATGCAATCTGAGACTATTCCATGATGCAAACCAAGCACTTTTAGTGGAAACAGTCAGAGATTTGCATCAAAGCATGTTGTTCATCTGAAACAAAACACTGCTGCACAGGCTTCTGTAATTGTTACATTGAACTTACAGTCTGTGAAGACGGAGGGAGGAGCAGGTGTCGCCAGGTAGTTTGCACGCTGTGTGTTTTTGTCTGTTTCTGTTTGAGTAGGGAGCCCAGGGGTGGGAAAGCTCCTGTTGGTGTCTCTGGTGCTTCAATACTGGGTGTTCCTACTTTTTTGTCTTTCTGTCCTTAATACTTATTGAGCTGCCTTCTGCTGAATGTGTTCTCACGTGCAAAGAAGAACTTGGGGAGTCATTCTAAAATGCAGATAGTGTTCACTGTTTTTGAATGAAACAATTTTTAGGGAATCTTAAAAGGTTAAGATGGGCAGAGTCTTAAAAGGTTAAATGATTTCATTATTACTGAACCTGTGTAGGCTTCTTGACCAGGCAATCTAAGTCATAATTATCCTTTTCCCATTAGCCTTTCATTGCCGTAATTTTTAATTTTTCACTGCGTTATATTTTTTTACAAAGAGAAGTTAATGAAGTATAAATCTCAGGGCTTTTTAGTAATGTTTGAGATTTGGGAATTACTACCCTTCTCAAGAGCAATTTCTTCTGTTTTTGTTTCATTTCTCGCCCACCAGGGTCTGTCTTCACTACCCACATCCTGCCAAATGGTCTGCTGTAAATATTAATACTACTTCACAATGAATAATGCACGTTTTCTTAAGAAAAAACAATTCACTGTGTTTTAATTTCAAGTTTCCTAGGTCAAAAATACAGCTACCAAACAAATCTGTGTTATGAGTTGCATAATATATTCATTTCTTGCCAAGAAAGATTTGTTTTAGTTTGGTTTTGTCAGATGTGTGACAGAGAGTGAGATAAAATAGCCCCTTCTTGCTTTTACAAAAGCTATTTGCTCCTTTTTTCCTGAATTTAGTAAATAGAGTATTTCAACAATAATGCTTAAATGTGAGCAGGCAGAAATTTATTTCTGTAAAGGCAGAAATTCCTTAAATTCTAAAAATCGGCTTGCAAGATCACCCAAGTAAACTGTGCACCATGAATGTAGGAACTGTAGCAATGTAGTCAGACTTGCAGTGTTGCTCTCATTTAATTGTAAATGTTTATTTTTACAAATTATATTTACTCTATTAGTGATAATTTAAGCAGTAAACATTTCACACTGATAGCTTCATTAGAGCAGTTTTTTCCGTGACACACAGTGAGCCCCACACTTCCATTAAACAAACAAGGAAAAAAACCTCCAAAACACCCTTGGGAATGATGCATCTTCATCCACAACACATACATTCTCTGCAGTGGATAACCTTCCGCATAGGAGACTTAAGCTAGCATCATCCCACAGATGGGAACAGACTTTTATGGTTCTATAACTCGACCAAATTCCAACAGTTGTAAGGCAAAAATAAGCTTTCATATCTGGAAAATTACCTACTATATTTCAAGTCTTTTCTCCAAAACATGAGAGTACCAGAACCTTTGAATAAAATGGTTTTGTAAATGTAAGAACTGCAAAATATTAAATACTAGTGTAATTTTTGAAGATAGAATTATTTTTCTGAAAAGAAATTTCCAGAGAGAAATATTTTATTGAAAAGAAGAAATAATCTGAACAGAAAAATTGCATAGAAAAGTTCAGCCTGACAGGTTAAAGTTAAAATAGTTAAGACATTTATAATTCAGAGTATATCATATAAACTAGTGTGAAAATATCTGAAAGTTTTTTTGTTGTTATTATTATTTAAAGAAGAGAAATATAATGAGGAGTCTTTAAGTATACTAAAATTTCATGAATTGTCTCTATGCTAAAGATTTCTGCAAAAATAAGTTAATGTTCACAATTAATAGTACAAGAAATAGGATCACAGAATGGTTCTTAAAGGGACCCTAAAGATCATCCAGTTCAACCTCTGCCATGGGCAGGGACACCTCCCACCAGACCAGGTTACCCAAAGCCCTGTCCAACCTGGCCTTGAACACTTCCAGGGAGGGGGCATCCACAGCTTCCCTGGGCGACCTGTGCCAGTGTCTTACCACCCTCACAGTAAAGAGTTTCTTCCTAATATCTAGTCTAAATCTACCCTCTTCCAG